AAGAGCGGAGGATGGATGGTGGAAAAGGCCACATTCCCTGGAAGTTAATCACCACCTTCTCCAAGGCGAACGTGGCTGACCCTGCTGTTCTAACCAAACCTCCAGCTCGCTCAGGGTTGCCTTGGGGATTTCCACTGAGTCCAGGCAATAAAGCTCACCCATAATAGGAGCTGGCGAGGAACGGGGTGCTGAGCAGTTAGGCACCAGGACTGCAGCTCCGTCTGATTCCTGAAGATTTAACAACACGAGGAGCTGAGGGTGGGCGGGCTTTTCAGTCCTGGGCTGGAAGGTGCGGTGCTAACAGGAAATCAAGGACCCGGTTCCCTTCTTTGCTTCTCATGTCCAAGTTGGTTTTATTAGGAAGCCTTGTGAGGCAAGTCCTGAGGGCAGCTGGGGGCAGGAAAGCAGTCACTGAATGAACTTACTCTATGAGCCAAACACTTGCCTGGTTTGCTTCTTGTGCCCAAACCCTCCTCTGCAAGTGGCCAAGGAGAGGTCATTGGGGCATCACATTGGCAAAAGCATGGTGGACAGAAGAATCTTGAATACTGGGCGAGGGGTCCAGAGTGCTCAAGGCTCTTGATACAGCCCTGTCTGTAGCCGCTGAAGGTCTGCAGGGTGAGGGGAGGGCGCTAGGAAAGGGCCTGCTTTGTCTGGGGTCTCTGAATAACACCAGTGCTGCCTATTGTCCCCATTGTCTTTCACAACGTGCTTTTACAGACACGGGGCCTCCGGAGCACCCATCCTGCAGGCCGAGGACCCCACGTGAAGGCGAGGCGCCCGCACACTCCCGCCGAGGACTTGAAGACTCTGGTGGGCCATCCATGGTGGGAGGATGAGAGTGGGGTAAGGAGGGTCTGCAGGGAGACTCACTGGCCCCTTGGCTTCCAAGTTGGGCTTAGATCCAAAGAGAATGCAAAGAATCCTCCCAACCCAGAACTCTTTGCTTCCACCCTCTCCTGCCATCGTTTATTGGAGCCGAACGGGAGGTCTCTAGAATAGGCCAAAGGCATGGCAGGACGATGTGGGGCGGGCCATTCACAAGCAGGCCGCGTTCTCTCATGACTGAACTGAGGATTCATGAGGAAGGCCGAGTGGAGGAGGATGGGCCAGCCTTCTTCCTCTCAGTGCCCACGGACAGCGGGGCCCTTCCTCGGCCATGGCTAGGACCCCCAGCCCTTGCTGAGGAGTCTTTTTCAGAGACCAGAGGCCTAATGCCCGGGGCTGGGGAGGCTGGATGTCAGGGAGGAGCCACGTTCTAAGCTGCTGCTCCCAGCATCGGGTCAGGACAAGCCCCAGGAAGAAAGTATTCCAAACAACAGGGCGGATCTGCCCTCACTACCCAGTGTGCATGTCGGTGCTGAGAACAGCCTTTTATGGGGTTTGCACTGAGCCACGGGCATGTCTGAACACAGCAAGGAAGAGGCCCGGCAGCAGCCACACAGCCACCGGTTCGTGGGCACTTCTCTTCGGAGGGTGGGGAGGCCTCAGAGCCCTAGTTAATTCAGCCTCTGAGAGCCAGGCCATCTCCTCCCTCCCCACAGCCCCCAGCCCTATGCCTCCAAAAGGTGAGGGTGTGCCATTTCCAAACAGACTTAGGGAAGGATGTGGGGCCACCAGAAAGCAGATGTCCTGGGTAAGTCTACGTCCAGCAGCGAGACCCAGGAGTCTCACTCTCCTCTGCCCCGCACCCCCAGCCCAGCCGGTGTCCTGGTCCCTCCCGAGCTCCTCAGCCCCTCCTCCTGATTGCCCGCTGGCAGATGGGCCTGCCAAATGCTGTCCACGCTCACTGGACAGTGCATTCTGGAGAGGAGGCCCCGTCCCTGCATTCCCTCACCTTGGTGAGCAGGTCCATAGGTGATGCGTTTTTCTAAAGTAACTCAGAACACCTGACTTCCACACCGAGCTCAGTCACATCACACACAGGGGGACACAGACAAAGGGGGGAGGTGGCCAGCTCCCCAACGAGGTAGACAGAGAAGTTCCCCCTGGATATGCCTGCATGGCTGCCTCGGGGGTGAGAAACAGCAGATGCCAGCCCCACAGCCCAGCCCGCACTCAGCACTGTCCGCCGGTGCTGCAGACACAGGGTGGCTTGGCGAGCCTGCTCTCTGCAGCCCGTGGAAGGCAGTGATCCTGGGAGGGCAGAGCATCCAGGTCCCCCACATCTCCCACATCTGCGACTCCAAGATCCCGAAGGCCTGCGACCAGGCAGTAACCCTGCGTGCAGAGGCTGGGGATGACGTGCAGCCCACCCTCTGAGCAAAAGACCCCCAGACGATCCATGTGTTTCTCTTGTCCTTCATTCCACCGGAGTCTGTTTCATACCCAACCAGATTTCAGTGGAGTGAAGTTCAGGAGGCATGGAGCTGACGCCACCGCCGCAGCAGCCCCAACAGTGGCAGCGGGGGGAGCTCTGTCTTAGAAAACGGAACCCCAGGGAGAGATGGGATAGAGGAGGAGACACTGGAGCAAAGTGTCTTCTGCGGAGGGGACAGGTGTAGGTGGATTGGGAACAGCACCACAGATAGGAACCGCCTTCTAAATGCCTGCAACGGGAATGTGTGTTTTCTGTAACTCACAAACATTAAAAAGTTGTCCGTCTGCTGGAAAGCTGCGTCTGTGCTTCATGCTGTTGGATGCTGACTCCCTGACCGAAGTCACCTCCCCTTTGGGTTAAAGGGGAGGCCTGAGGGGGAAGAATCTATCAGCCCCGTCTGTCCTTGGGCTTCCAGGCAGGTGGCTGAAACCTGGCAATCAGCAAGGAGCCCGGCCGCCCAGCCTCCCCGCCTGCGGTGCCAGCAGGACCTGCCTAAGGGGGGAGAAAACTCCCGTAAGATGTGTTTAAACCCACTTACATCGTAATAAAGTAAATGTAAATAAGACCTGAGTGAAGGCAGGTGGCAGATATTTCAGACGCTGTACAAGATGTATTTCGGAGGGAGTGGGTGTCAGTTCTGCAAAGATTAACATGCTGGAACACACTTGACACACACACACAAAATGCCAGATCCAACATTAATCCTTTATCAATCATGATTGCCTTTATATGGGTCTCGTCTCCCCACGATACGTGCTGAACACACCAGGCTCGGGAGAAATCTGGGAGGAAAAACACAAATAATACGCCTCAGCTGTCAGGGTCTGTGATGTGCTTTGATGGATTTGACACTGATTTCCGTGGCTTTACAAGCTTGTGTGATTTTTTTAAAAACTCCACCTCTCTCCTTTAGGGAAGGAGAAGGTTGTGGGGAGGTTGGAGGGGGGTAGGGGGCCTCTAAGTCCTAAGGAAGTCCGCAGTTATGGAGGGGGGATGCCCAAGGCTTTCTCTTAATTGCCCCTTCCTTAGGTAAACAGGGTCTCCTTCAAGGAGCCAGTCTGGCTAAGGAGGCAAGCTCTGAACAAAGCCCTGGCCCTGCTGAGTCTTCAGAAAAACCGGTTTTCGCCTCCAGAATGTGCCCCAGGCGGCAAAACTCAATAGAGCCCCTTCCCTGGCAAAGGGTGTTTTTCTTAGGAGCTCCCCATTAAGGAGATTCCGGCTTTGTGGGGGCATAACCTGTCACTTGGGTATCTGAGTCCCACCCCCAGCAGGTGACCTCTGAGGAAAGGGGGCCCCTCTACCCTCCCCCCCTCCTCCCTGGGACTCTGTCCCTGAGGAATTAAAGGCTCCCAGACCGATGTCAGAGCCAAGATGAAAAAGCATTTCTCCAAAATGTTTTTCTTCTTCAAGTTAACACAGATTCAAAACCTGTCCCTGTCACCCTCGCCCGTCCATTCAGAGGCCCATGGATAACAAAAGGGTGAGAAGGACAAGCCACAGGCATTAAAAAAAAAAAAAATGTTTACCCGGCCTGGCCAGTATGTCTCAGTGGTTGAGCATGACCTATGAACCAGGAGGTCATGGTTCGATACCCAGGTTGGGGGCTTGACCCCCAGTGTGGGGAGTGCAGGAGGCAGCCAATCAATGATTCTCATCATTGATGTTGCTATCTCTCTCTCCCTCTCCCTTCCTCTCTGAAATCAATAAAAATATATTTTTAAAAAATGTTTATCCATAAAAATGATGCAGTGAAGGGGGTTGGGAGGGGGCTGGAGTACTTAGATAACCAGCACACACCCTCCATTCGGGCTCTGCAGGAACCCAAAGGCACAAAGCAGAGGGAGGCGGCACTTCCGTTGGCAGCTTGATCTGAACTGGAGTCTTTTTAATGGA